ACAGGTGTCCAGCCAATGATATGAGATGGTTCACTTACGCTACACAGCCAATCATACCATTGACAGTGCTTTCATATGTGCCCTGTCCATGAGCGCCATGTACCTAGCGCCGTACAGGTTAGCTAGTTAACAACAGTGCGGCAGAATCAAAAGACATAAATGCTAATTGCTAACGAACGTTGGAAGCGACACGTCCACTCACCAAGTCAAAGAACAAGTGGTAAAACTGGGTTTTGAGATTGTTTTCTTTTTAGAGTAAGAAAGAAAGAAAGTAGCAAACAGGTTTGCCATCAACAGACAGAGGAAAAATAAAGTAAAATTTAAGTTAGATTTGTGCATTTTTTTAGTGACATTTCTACAAGATTTTTCATTTATGGATATTTACAATTAAATGCTGTTACTACGAGATAATTTATGGGTAGTATGAATGCTAATAAAAAAACTGTGTAATTATATTTTGCACACACAGTTTTACAATCCTCAGAATCACAGCATAACAGCATAAAGTTTCGCTTTACCAAGTACTAACCCGGAAAATAGAATTGTGGTGGTAGCAAGTGAAAACACAACCTTTTCCACACTTTGTCCCAAATCTCCGTCTGGAGAAGAGGTATGTGTCTCCCACTTTACGCACTGTGATTCGTTTATCCTGTGTTCTGGTTCCGCTTCCTTCTAGTTTTTCACAATAAAATGCTAAAATGAAATTTAACATTGGGCTGGTGATCAAAGTATGATTGGAAGCTGATTCAGGATTTTTGTTTATAAGGAATAAACAAAAAATATTTTTGAGTGCACTACATTCCTTTAACAACCTTTTCTGGTGGTTTGGCTCGAATTGAAATACTATTGAGAACCTGATAACATGTATATTTTTATCTGTACAAACCGCTGTATGAGTTGCTGCCACCTAGTGACTGGAGGCTTGTTATCTTTCAAGCATTACAGCAGTGGTACATTTATGTCCAGCTTGCCATATTCCATTGGAAACCCCTTTTGACCCCTCTGGCACTTCACCGCGCCTCCCTACGGGGGCCCGCCCCACTATTTGAGAAGTACTGTATTAGGTTAATAACAGCACTTATATATCAATCACTGTCTGTACTGTCACTGCCTACAGAAGTTTAAACTACATCATTAACACACTATTTAATAGAACATTATAAAAGTTCAAGAGAACAAACTTTTTGCCAAAACAGGTCTCCGTTCATTATTTTTCGAAAATGAACTATAAAATTAACGGGCGCCTTTAGAACCAACGTGTTGACTGTTAAAGATTTAACAAGTCTCTTCTCTGCTGTTCTTCATCAGTGTAGCTGTTTTTTTTATTGCTTTTCATTTTTAAAGCAGCGTCGGCTCTCAGTTTGATTGTTCGTTTTTTTTCCCCCCGTTCCCCCTCTTGACTCGTTTTTACTGGAATCACACTATTGGCTTACATTACACTCGGGTAATTTTCCTTTGTCGTTAAACGAAAGCAGTGGAGGAGAAGGTAAATGAAGCTCGTAAAGAGAGGAGACAAGCTCAGGTAATTAACTCGCCGTCAGAGACCTCTGAAAGAAGCTGTGGATAGAAAAAGTGACTCAGCAAAAGCGCCGGGACACAAACAGTTGATTTTTCATGGAGGCCTTTTAAAACCATTGTTGTACTTTCCTGGAATAAAGACACAAGTTCAGCACATTAAAGGCGTAGACTGAATTCTTTTAGCAGGAGTCAATAGTTCTCAAGCTGTAACATTGTTTATCACCCCATCACTCTCATAATCGTCTCTCAACCAGCACTAAAACACAGCAGCTCACACTAGTACATGAAGCAGAGAATAAAGAGATATTTGTTCGGCAAACTATCCGACTCCTTTGAACTACTTTCAATCTCCAGGATCAATAAGAACACCCCAGATTTATTTTGTAAAACAATGTGGTCATAAAATTATAAATTTGCCACAGCTGACCTCAAGGTCATTATGTCCTTTTATGTTATCTAAGTTATCTAAGTTAATAACAAAAAGGTGAACAGTATGGAATGCTTGTTTCAACAATAGAAATGTATGATAATAAAAAATCTTTTAAAATTGTCCACTAGAGGGTGGCAAAGGATGGAAAGTGAAACACCCTCCGTGGCGTCACAGGTCGATGAAAACATAACGTATCTCTGTAAACCCATCAATATCTCTGCAGAATGAAACCTGCATTACTTCTGTTGGTCGTTTATTTCAGCCTTTTGATCGACAGGTTTATCCAAATTAAAAGGAGATGATTTTTGCTTATAACGTATTTGTCTTGTCAGTTGGCAGATAATTCGCAGGCAAATCCAACTGTTCTTAAATGAAACAATTGTCAAAATCAATGCAACAATAATGGCTTAGAAGCAGCTGATGAGAGAAATATGGATGCAAGTAAGCGATGGCTGGTTTTTTCTTCTTTGTTAAAACTTCAGAAATATTGAAATTAAAGTTGTTTTTCTCAGGTTTATCCGAGGTATTTCACTGCATTTAGAGGCATTTTGTGGCTGCACTCAGGTCACGAAAGTTCAACAAAAGATACAGTGGTCCCTCTCTATATCTCGGTTCTCCTTTCGCTCCCTCAGTACATCACCGATTTTATTTTAATCTGATCCTTTTTTGAGTCCGATGATTTTTTTTTTGGGGCGTTAACGCTATCAGCGATTGAATGATCGCTGGTAGCTTTGTTTACCTGGACGAGATTATTATTGGCCAATACAATGCGTACTCGGTGTACTACTGGCTAATTGAGCATGCTCTACTGTTCCTCACACTGATTGGCTCATGCACAGTAGCATCTCCTCTTGTCCGTTGGCCACTCTCTCATTTACCACACTCTGCATTGCCATTATACAACTCTTCAGCATCTTCTCTTGTCTGTTGGCCACTCTCTCATTTACTACACTCTGCATTGCCATTATACAACTCTGCTGTGCATATAATTCTGGGGGAGGTCTGTAAAGGGTAAATATATATGTAAATAATATTATAACTATCTCGCCTCCACTTTGCGATTTTTACCATTTCGCGGTGGGTCTCGAATTACAGCGATCAGAAAACCTTTAAACCAAGGTCAGAGGTCAGTGAAGAAAAAAAATATAGACCAAATAAACAGAGGTGGATAAATCAGATATCATCAGAGTGGCTCTTAGATCATGAGGTTCATTAAGTTTTGTTAGCCCAGTACACAGAGGGCTACTGGACACAGAAGGAGGGCCAAAGGAAAAAAGACAGGAAGTCCAAGACCAGACTAAAGTTTGCTGAGAAGGATGGATGGACAGGTAATTGGATGGATGGATTAAGGACAACAGGCAGAGAGATGGATACTTTGTAGTTTGTTGATTTGTTGGGTCCGTGGATCACTTCATGGATAGCTTGGTGGTTGGATGGATGATGATATTTGGCTGGCTTGCTGATTGGATGGATGGATGGATCAATGGACAAATTGATAGACTGGTTGCTTGTTGGTTGGATGCACTAAATATGCATTAGTAGGATTGATGGTGTATAGGGATAGTTTTGTATGCTGGTTGAAAACACAGGTGAATGGTAAGCTGTTTTATTTGATAAATGGATGGATGGATAGATAGATGGATGGATGGATAGATGGATGGATGGGTAGACAGCTAACATAATGGATGGACAACAGAAGGCTGCTAAGATGACAGGACAATTTGGTTACTTTTGGATTGGTTGGATGGTACGCTGGCGAAAAGCGCAGGTAAATGGCGAGGGCGTTGCGTGAATGGATGGATAGACGAATGGCTGAATAAATGGACGGCACTGACCCGTTTCACGGACTTGGATGGATGAGGGTCACATCTGACCATGTGACGGTGTGATCGATGATGCGCATGAGGCCTCGGCTCACTGACACCATGACTCTGACCTTGGACACACTCATCAATTTAAAGCCCTGTCAAGCCTTTAACAGCTCTCCGCTGACCCCTGTGTGGACGTAAGCTCCGCACATCCCTCAGTCCGTCAGTGAGTCACACGTTAATCAATAG